TTCCATTATAAAAACGTACTAAAAAAATTCAATTTCAAAGCAATTTTTTCCTGGTTTCCCTGAGCCAAGTTGGAAAACAGTAAGCAGCCTAGACTGATCGAAATGCAAAAGTCAAACGGTGTAGAAGTAAGGTCATTGATGTTATATCCATTCATTTACTGTGAAATACTACACACAGTAATGCTGAAGCCAGTGTGAAAGTCATAGACTGTATCCCACAGTTCAAGAAAAATGGATGATGTTCCAGCAGAAGGAGAAGAAGAACAGAGCTAAATGAAACTATGACAGTATCAGCAGCAAATTACTGAGAAACAAGAGGAACACTGTTTCTTCAAGTGGGCCCAGCTAGACCCTTCCTCATCTCTGGCCATAACTTCCACTGGTTAAGAGAACCTGAGCAAATAAAAACCACCAGAGGGGAAGAAATCCATTTTCAGGGTGGGCAATGTGATCGCTCTCTCAAGCTGTGATGGGAATGGTGAGAAAAACATCCTCTTACACTAGCCATCTTGGCTACCTGCAAAGTATGCCTAGAATTCTAGATTGCTTTGGACTCTTGGTAAAGATCCCCAAGAGCTAGCTAGTGGATACATGGAGATTCATTATTCTGTTCTTTCTACTTTGTGTATGTTTAAAAATCTCCAGACAAAAATGTCTTTAAAAATCTTCAAGCAATAATAACTTTTTTTTTTATAACTAGTGGATATCCATGGTGACAGTCTAACAATTACATCTGTCCTTCTTTGCCCCATGCTGAAGACATTTTTTAAATTAGAAAGTATCTTCACTAGTAAACTTGTTGGAAACATTTGGTAATTTTTTTATGTGAACACATAAGATCGCATAAAAGACTACAGATCTAATAACTGAACAGGAAATAAACTATTCAGATAGAGTTTTGACACCGAACACTGTGGAAATTTTGATGCTGGAAAATGAAATAGCCATCAGGTTAATGACTGGCTGAAGGCAAGGATATTAGTAAGATTAGAAATCTTTAACCTGGTTTCTCCTTTAGTTCACTGAGAATGGATTTGTGATCATGGTTCTCAGACTCAGATCAAACCCAGTACCAAAACTACACTATGAGATTGATTACGCTAATAGCCATTGACCTAGACATTTGACTTGGTCAAATATATCTAGGAATTGACCTCTAATGTAGAGTCCCTGGATAGCGCCAGTGGTTAACGTGCTCAGCTGCTAATCGAAGGGTTGGAGGTTCAAATCCACCCAGACGTGCCTTAGAAGAAAAGCCCGGCAATCTACTTACAAAAAATCAGCCATTTAAAACCCTATGGAGGCACTTCCTAGTTGGTGAAAGACATGTATGAACATTTGAGGGTCATTTCCTCTTTTTTGGATGTTCAACTTTTGCGGTGGGGACCCTTCCAGACCTCACCCCATGTTTAACTTCTCTGTGTTGATCCTGATTTTGATCCTCTTGCTACAATCCATTCACGTAACTTAAAATACTCAGAGACTTTGCTAAAGCATCTTCAGACCATTCTCTCTACAAGCCTAATCGTATCAGACAGATGGCAACTGGTTCAGGTGCCACACCAGGGCCTGCACATCCTCTTTTCAGTAAGGCCAAAGAGGATTGTTGCTCTGCCTGCCGTTGGCAGACATCCTCTTGCCCTGGCAATGTTATACTCTCCAAAAATGAGGCATAAACGAACTGTTAGGACCCTGTCCATGACTGTCTTATCTGCTGTTTTCCCGACCTTCGAAGGCCCTGTTATCAAGGTGAGACCTGTCATTACTGGACAAGCAGTTACTTGGCTACTACAGTTATATGGAACCCCTCAGTTGTCAGTCCTTGAAGTTCCCAATGACTCGTAACATTCTCATGGCATTGTTTAAGGACATTGGCCATATGAGGTCTGCAGAAAACAGGTTCAAAGCATTCAAGGTAGCAGTTAATACAGACATCATCCACCCACCATATCCTGCTATTAATGTATCTGCTTATGTCATCTACACGGCTGCTCAGCCCTGGTATCATAGAGTCTTGTGTAGAATTTTAAGTACTGAATTCACAGGTCCAGTCCAACAGATGATTGTGCAAGTCCATATGGTGGCTTGATGGTCACAGAGGACTACTCTCAATGCTATTAACAAGTTCTTTCACAAGTGTGATTCGAGCTTAATCCCAATACCTGAAGTAAAAGATGAGATACCCAAGATCAATGAAGCATATGAGAGACTTCGTGAAAAAACTGGAGAATAGTTACCTTATGCCAACGCCATCAGACACCCTGAAGCCCAGTAGGTGACTACAGCATTTCCAAACCTGGCTTCCGCAACCCTGTACTATGCAGCAGAGACAACATCAACTGTGCAAAACTACAGAGCAGGGAACCACATTAAGGGAGGGCTCCCTGAAAGCACACTCAAAAGTGCTTTTGAGTGCAAAATCCCAAACACTGCGGAAGAGCAGGCAACACTACACTCACGAGGCATCACCAGTGAGCTGAGTGATCAAGTGTCACCGACACCAACAGAGGCACACTCATCCGTGGAAAATGATTAATGTTTTTGTTAAAAAGAAAAATAATGAAAGGAAGAAATGATGAAGTAAAAGAGCTGAACAAAGGGTTTCAAAGGGTGGCTCGAGAAGACAGAGTAAAGTATTATAATGACATGTGCAAAGACACAGAGTTAGAAAACCAAAAGGGAAGAGCATGCTCGGCATTTCTCAAGCTGGAAGAACTGAAGAAAAAATTCCAGCCTCGAGTTGCAATACTGAAGGATTCTACGGGGAAAATATTAAATGACGCAGGAAGCATCAAAAGAAGATGGAAGGAATATACAAAGTCACTGTACCAAAAAGAATTGGTGGACATTCGACCATTTCAGGAGGTAGCATATGATCAAGAACCAATGGTTCTGAAGGAAGGAGTCCAAGCTGCACCGAAGGCATCGGCGAAAAACGAGGCTTCAGGAATTGATGGAATATCAATTGAGATGTTTCAACAAATGGATGCAGCGTGAAACTGCTCACTCGGCTATGCCAAGAAATTTGGAAGACAGCTACCTGGCCAACCGACTGAAAGAGATCCATATTCGTGCCCATTCCAAAGAAAGGTAATCCAACAGAATGCAGAAATTATCGAACAATATCATTAATATCACATACAAGTAAAATTTTGCTAAAGATCATTCAAAAGCAGTTGCAGCAGTACATCGACAGGGAATGACCAGAAATTCAAGCCGGATTCAGAAGAAGACATAGAACCAGGATATCACTGCTGATGTCAGATGGATCTTGGCTGAAAGCAAAGAATACCAAAAGGATGTTTACTCATGTGTTACTATGCAAAGGCATTCAACTGTGTGGATCATAACAAATTACGGATAACACTATGAAGAATGGGAATTCCAGAACACTTAATTGTGCTCATGTGGGACCTGTACATAGACCAAGAGGCAGTCATTTGAACAGAACAAGGGGATACCGTGTGGTTTAAAATCAGGAAAGGGGTGCATCAGAGTTGTATCCTTTCACCATAATTATTCAATCTGTATGTTGAGCAAATAATCTGAGAAACTGGGCTATATGAAGAAGAACGGGACACCAGGATTGGAGCAAGACTCATTAACAACCTGCGATATACAGATGACACAACCTTGCTTGCTGAAAGTGAAGAGGACTTGAAACACTTATTGAT